TTTTCAACCTTTGGATGAATAACGTCGCAAAGTGGACCCATCTATCATCTGTGCAAAACACGACGCCGAGGCTACTTCATTGCGTCTGTCTGATTAGCCATTAGAAATCTTATCGCCTAACCCTATGTAATTGCCTCATTGAAATCCGGTTTCACCTCTCAATCGGTTGACTTCTCGGCTAATAAAAGTGTCGGCATTTTTCCCACACCTCATATATTACCTTGATGTAAACACACATGTCAATTTGCAGTTTTTTTGCCATTTTTCATCATTTTACCTATTTTCCCCTATAAAAAGCATTCAACAACAGCTACTTTTGTCCCACTGATTTGAAACCTTCTTCTTGAATGCCCTCCTTCATTCTGACCTCCAGAGCATTTGATACTCAGAACGTAGCAGCACCCGAATATTCTTTGTCCAGAAAAACATCTCTTTTAGTCCCCAAAAAAGGAAATCTCTTATTGCTCTTCTCTCTCTCTCTCTCTGCACATTATGGCAAAGCATCCATAAAACGGTTGCCCAAATAATAAAATGGCGCACACAGATCGAGACTAAAGGACCTTTTGTGGGTCATAACTCGGCTTTGGTAGGGTCATTCAGGCAGTTCATTCCATCAACTGTTGTTGTGCCTTAAATGGAGACGAGGCGCGTCAATTCTTGGTATATGGCGAACAATCAGTTTCTCGTTGAGATGCTTTCGTCTACAAACGTCGAGATGTCGACACTTAAGAGGTGGGACCTTCAGGAAAGTCAATAAATCCAAGTACTTAAAAGTTTCCCGTGCCGTATATTTTTCGAAGACCCAAATCTAAACTTATCCAAATGCTCTCGAAAACAACTTCCAATGTTTTATCAAGGATGTATTTTACAAGAAGGAATGGTCCAAGTCATGGACATTGCAAATTCACCTGATGACTGCATTTATTCATCGCGATTTGAAATGTTTCAACTTCTTTCAGAGGTGGTGACAGTTAGCCTTTTTGGCTGGGGGTCAAACTTGGAAATTTCACAGATTCTTTGCAATCCCCACTTGGACGATCGGCAACAAATGTCCCACAGTTGTTGGGTGTCACTTACTTAGTGAAACGGCAACGGGCAATTAAGCCAACGACAACACTCACATAATCCCACACACAAATACACACATACATGGATACGTGGGAATTTTGAAAACGTCAAATTGTTGAAACTACTTGCTGATCCCGATTTCCCTAATGGCACAGACACTTGAAGAACCACTGCTGCCTTGGAAATTTTAAAACTCCTCTTTTTTCAGAGGTGTCTTTTACTAAAAGGGAATGGAAATTAAGTTAACTTAAATTGAAGAAGTGCTTTTTCCCATCCACTCATATCAAAGCCCTTTGTTGACTGAATTTTGGGGGCTTGTTTCACCAAATTTTGATAAATTGTCCGCAAGAAAGCGGCAATTATGCTTGTCTTTTAAAAATGCAACAAAACTTTTTCCCAATGACTTTAACCTACCCTCTGGGTAGGGACACATCTCGGCATATTTAAAAGTCCTATTTGCTACTTTTAATTAAATAAAATAAATAACAAAAGCAGTCTGAAACTCCTTTTTTGCACTTGGATACCCATTAACGACTTCTGCTCCCCCAGGATGTGGAATTTCCCTAGAAGTAATTTCTTTTAAAAGCAAAAGGATGACTGACAAAATGGGTGAAGCAATTACATTTTGGGAGGGTAGGGGGCAGAGGTCCTTTATCCCCCTCCCATCTTGTTTGAAAGATAGAAGGCGAGGTCTGCAGTGGACCCGCTTTCCCTCCATCAATTATCCCTATGGGGCCGACTTTTTTTTTCAACCTTTGGATGAATAACGTCGCAAAGTGGACCCATCTATCATCTGTGCAAAACACGACGCCGAGGCTACTTCATTGCGTCTGTCTGATTAGCCATTAGAAATCTTATCGCCTAACCCTATGTAATTGCCTCATTGAAATCCGGTTTCACCTCTCAATCGGTTGACTTCTCGGCTAATAAAAGTGTCGGCATTTTTCCCACACCTCATATATTACCTTGATGTAAACACACATGTCAATTTGCAGTTTTTTTGCCATTTTTCATCATTTTACCTATTTTCCCCTATAAAAAGCATTCAACAACAGCTACTTTTGTCCCACTGATTTGAAACCTTCTTCTTGAATGCCCTCCTTCATTCTGACCTCCAGAGCATTTGATACTCAGAACGTAGCAGCACCCGAATATTCTTTGTCCAGAAAAACATCTCTTTTAGTCCCCAAAAAAGGAAATCTCTTATTGCTCTTCTCTCTCTCTCTCTCTGCACATTATGGCAAAGCATCCATAAAACGGTTGCCCAAATAATAAAATGGCGCACACAGATCGAGACTAAAGGACCTTTTGTGGGTCATAACTCGGCTTTGGTAGGGTCATTCAGGCAGTTCATTCCATCAACTGTTGTTGTGCCTTAAATGGAGACGAGGCGCGTCAATTCTTGGTATATGGCGAACAATCAGTTTCTCGTTGAGATGCTTTCGTCTACAAACGTCGAGATGTCGACACTTAAGAGGTGGGACCTTCAGGAAAGTCAATAAATCCAAGTACTTAAAAGTTTCCCGTGCCGTATATTTTTCGAAGACCCAAATCTAAACTTATCCAAATGCTCTCGAAAACAACTTCCAATGTTTTATCAAGGATGTATTTTACAAGAAGGAATGGTCCAAGTCATGGACATTGCAAATTCACCTGATGACTGCATTTATTCATCGCGATTTGAAATGTTTCAACTTCTTTCAGAGGTGGTGACAGTTAGCCTTTTTGGCTGGGGGTCAAACTTGGAAATTTCACAGATTCTTTGCAATCCCCACTTGGACGATCGGCAACAAATGTCCCACAGTTGTTGGGTGTCACTTACTTAGTGAAACGGCAACGGGCAATTAAGCCAACGACAACACTCACATAATCCCACACACAAATACACACATACATGGATACGTGGGAATTTTGAAAACGTCAAATTGTTGAAACTACTTGCTGATCCCGATTTCCCTAATGGCACAGACACTTGAAGAACCACTGCTGCCTTGGAAATTTTAAAACTCCTCTTTTTTCAGAGGTGTCTTTTACTAAAAGGGAATGGAAATTAAGTTAACTTAAATTGAAGAAGTGCTTTTTCCCATCCACTCATATCAAAGCCCTTTGTTGACTGAATTTTGGGGGCTTGTTTCACCAAATTTTGATAAATTGTCCGCAAGAAAGCGGCAATTATGCTTGTCTTTTAAAAATGCAACAAAACTTTTTCCCAATGACTTTAACCTACCCTCTGGGTAGGGACACATCTCGGCATATTTAAAAGTCCTATTTGCTACTTTTAATTAAATAAAATAAATAACAAAAGCAGTCTGAAACTCCTTTTTTGCACTTGGATACCCATTAACGACTTCTGCTCCCCCAGGATGTGGAATTTCCCTAGAAGTAATTTCTTTTAAAAGCAAAAGGATGACTGACAAAATGGGTGAAGCAATTACATTTTGGGAGGGTAGGGGGCAGAGGTCCTTTATCCCCCTCCCATCTTGTTTGAAAGATAGAAGGCGAGGTCTGCAGTGGACCCGCTTTCCCTCCATCAATTATCCCTATGGGGCCGACTTTTTCTCTCTTCATTGGCTGAAAAATGAAGGAGAAAAATAAGCCCTCCATGAAGATTTTCTCGCTTTTAGGTAATATACCATTGCATGGACTAAAAGACCGCACAAATTTTGTACCGATTTTCGCTCCTGGGTG